CTGCTCCTTTTGGGTGTTCTTCCGCACCCGATCACTCCCGCTATTCACTTTGTTTACCAGCTGTCTGTTAAGAACAGTTTTCTTTCTGACTGACTGTTCCCGCTGAAGAGAGAAGAGCCGTAACGCCCTCTCTTTGCTTAAGTTTCAATCACTACAATGGTGCTGATAAGTGAAACGGAGCTCTCTGGAATCATAATAAAAACAAAGAAATCAAATAAAAATGCGTTGTTGCCATGTTAATGTAAGCAGAAGTAATCAATACTTTAAAAGTGCTCAGTTATTAAGATGTTCATTCATTCATTTTCTTGTCGGCTTAGTCCCTTTATTAATCCGGGGTCGCCACAGCGGAATAAACCGCCAACTTATCCAGCAAGTTTTTACACACATTCTTACACACACATTCACACACACACTACGGACAATTTACCCTACCCAATTCACCTGTACCGCATGTCTTTCGACTGTGGGGGAAACCGGAGCACCCGGAGGAAACCCACGCGAAGGCAGGGAGAACATGCAAACTCCACACAGAAACGCCAACTGAGCCGAGGTTCGACCTAGCAATCTTCTTGCTGTGAGGCGTCAGCACTACCTACTGCGCCACTGCCTCACCCGTTATCAAGATGTGTTGACAATTATTATCTGCATAATTGGTTGAGACTGAGTCGAGATGTAAAATAGAAAAAGGGGAAACTTAAGCTTTTTAATGCTCTTTCTCTTTTCTTAAGCAATTTATTTGAACACAGTTTTCAAAATGACCTACTTTTATTTAATTAATACGAGAACATGCAAATCTGCAGTCATATGTGTGAAGCTGTTGCATTGTCAGGTATTTGTTACCCGATAAATGTTTATTGTTCTTTGAATTGTTATGAAGGCATAATTTTTTATTAAATATAGCACGAACTGTACCATACTGAAACCGTGATGCATACTGAATCGTGAGTAGATTGAACCGTTGCACCCCTAATATATATATATATATATATATATATATATATATATATATATATATATATGAATGTGTACTGCATGTGACAATTTTAAAACCATGTGTGATGTTCTGTTTCCTCTTTAAACAGTGTGTGTCAGTTTTCTTGAGTGCCTGAGAAACGCTTCTCATTATCAGCATTTCAGTTGTTGTTTCTCTCTTTGCAGTTTCCTGTTTGTGATAAATCGCACATAAAGCATAATGAGTTGACGGGAGACAACGTTGGTCCACTTATTCTAAAGAAGAAAACTCTGTAGCCCACCTTCTTTTGGGGCTCGGAGAAGGACATGCCTTTTTTTTAATAAATCTATTTTTGTCCATTAAAAAAACCTACTGTAATTTTGATTGTTTGTACTTACACAAAACTATTTCCAGCATGCAGTAGAGCTGTACATTCTGACTTTAGTGATATTGTGGTTGATATAAAAGATTATATCGAGTATTTTTGTTCTTTTCGATGTGGATTTTGTTGTTGGTTTGTTTTGGGCAAATGTATTTTGACTTTTGTGTGCAATATAACTTGACCACAAGGCAAAATCGAGCTACTTGTTGCCCATGAGTCTTTTTGGCCATGAAAGTGTCTTTTCCTCTCAATCTCGGATCAGTTTTAACTAAGTTGCCTTGTACTGTTATCATTGTGATAATCAGAAAATTGCATTTGACATTTTTTTTAGACATTAAAAAAAAAACACTTCAATGTAAAGTAGTTTATTAGGAATTCCTCTAAAATGTTTGCTAAATTATTGATACAATTTTAGTAATAATTCACAGCATTAGATTACAATGGTCAAGCTCTTGTTTCACATTATTCAAATATTTCTCATAAAGCAACAGAATATACCCATATGCCACGATATTTAAGAATTATTTGCATTTTTTTGTGTTTGAATGTTATAAATAGTTTGACAATCCTTTGGCTCTCACGATAGTTTTTGTTTGTTTTTTTAAACTTGTGCTACTTTTCTCATAGATGTTTTTACATTTGTATGGTAACTGGAATGTGCCTAATGACTTTTGTAAAATAAAAGGTAACCAAACATGCTGCTTCATGTGCCTGAACTTTCTTCAGTGCTTATTTGCATCTGCTTTGCCTTTAGATGATAAAACGAGATACGTTTCCAAATGCGAATGGGGGGTTTTTGCCAGTCAACTTCTATCACAGGAAAGGCCATTCATTTTCAGCAGCAATGCATCTATAAATGAAAATAACTACACACACTGTACAAATAATCAAACGAGGCAAAATTAATACGTATTAACATGTTAAACAATAGTCATTTAATTGCTTCAATTAACCGCATGTAACCACAATACAAAATCTTGTCAAATTCAAGCAGTAAACTTAATCTGCTAATTGTACTCAGACAGAAAAAACATACATGAACAATAATGCCCTAATAACATTCAAATACGCAATTTATGAAAACAGTCATATGAAAACATAAATATGGCTCAAGTATCATTATTAACTGTGCAATGAGGGAAGTACAATTTGGATTTCTACAACTAATAAAGTAAAAGCTCTAAAAAAAATACTTCCACTATAAACAAAATGTCTTCAAATTGTACAGATACTGTAATTGTAATGGGACTAAAAATTAATCTATGTTCAGAACAGCATACTAGCATATTCGTAATAGTGCTGCGGAATACATGAATGCTGTATGACTAAAATATGCCGATAAACTACTATATTTGCCAAAATGTGGCTTTTCTGTGGAATAATATATCCTGCAGAGCAGTCAACTTGAGCTTTTATTTCCACGTGGATGGAAAAAACAATTGTTCTTCTGGTGTGTCAGACAATATATTTATTATACAAAAAATAATTAAACATTTAAAAAAAATTGTTGTTCTGTTTTTAGTTTAGTAACCTCGTAAAGATCCATTCACACCAAGGACAACAACAAAAAACAGTAAAAATAAATAATCATATTTTGTAACATGTTTTTAAAGCCTAAATGACTACTGTTAATTCTTTAAAATAGCTCTGAAAATTGTTCAGAGTTGAAAATAACAGCTAATCAGAATCCATACTTCTCCAAAAAAATGCAAGAATTTTTATGTCAAGCGACAGACAAAGAAAACTGCAACATGCTAATGATATACACTACCTGAAAAAGGTTTTGTCACCAATACAAGTTTTAGCAAAAGCAAATAAAGACTTCTAGTTCAGGGGTGGCCAACCCTGTTCCTGGAGAGCCACCCTACTGCAGATTTCAGTTGCTACCCATATCAAACACACCTGAACCAATTAATTAGGACCTGAACACCACTTGATAATTACAGGCAGGTGTGTTTGAAATGAGTTGCAACTGAAATCTGCAGGAAGGTGGCTCTCCAGGAACAGGGTTGGCCACCCCTGTTCTAGTTGATCATTTGGTATCAGAAGTGGCTTATATAAAAAGACAAAGGCCTCTAGATTACGCTTATTTTACCAAAATATCTTGATTTTTTAAATAATTTAATTAGAACAGTAAGGTCTGACTCTGCTTTGACAGTCTTGTCACTTAACAGAAATAATGTACAGTATAGAATATAAAGTCATGGTACAGGGGAAACAGAATTAATATTCTGTATGACTTCCATGAGCTTGGAGGAAAGACAAAGAAAGTGTTCTTGCAGGACTCCCAGAGTTCATCAAGATTCTTTCGATTCATCTTCAATGCCTCCTTATTCATCTTACCCTAGACATGCTCAATATGGTTCATGTCTGGTGACTGGGCTGGTCAAACCTGGAGCATCTTGACCTTCTTTGCTTTCAGGAACTTTGATGTGGAGGCTGAAGTACGAGAAGGAGCGCTATCCTGCTGAAGAATTTGCCCTCTCCTGTGCTTTGTAATGTAATGGGCAGCACAAATTTCTTGATACCTTAAGCTGTTGATGTTGCCATCCACTCTGCAGATTATTTACACACTGAATGTAATTCCAAACCATAATTTTTCCTTCACCAAGCTTGACTGATTTCTGTGAGAATCTTTGGTCCATGCAAGTTCCAATAGGTCTTCTGCAGTATTTTGATGATTGGGAATGCAGTTCAACAGATGATTCATGAGAAAAATCGACCTTATCCACTTTCCAAATGATCAACTAGAAGTCAAGTTATTATTTGTTGCTCATACAACTGGGATTGACGATAAGACTTTTGCCAGGTAGTGTACAGTGTTACTGTGTATTAAAAAGCAAAAGAATTAACATGATAGTTATTGTTCTTGATGTGAACTGGCCTAGTTCACATATTCAAGCAGTATACTTGGAATCAAATAAAAACGATGCATATGTTTCTCTATAGCACAGGTGTCAAAGCCAGTTCCTGGAGGGCCGCAGCTCTGCAAAGTTTGGTTCCAACCCTAATTAAACGCAACTAATCAAACTATTTGAGTCCTTCAAGCTTGTTTGAAACCTACAGGTAAGTGTGTTGAAGCAGGGTTGGAACTAAACTGTGCAGAGCTGAGGCCCTCCAGGAAATGGCTTTGACTCCTGTGCTCTATAGGCTTCGAAGATTTAGATATTATAGTGTTATTTAAATATAAAAAACTCATTTAGATCTGGTTCAATCTGCTTTTACATAACATAAATAAAGCAGAATGTGCGACATTTGAATTCTATAAATATATGAAAGTCCGCATGAAATAAAATTTCACAATGATTATTTTGTTATCGCCCACGGTTAATCTTAATATGAACAATTAATCTCCGCTATTTAATCCAATGAAAAAAATAAAACAGTTTTGGTAATCCTTAATCAAAATCAAACCATTTGCTTCTACTGGAAATGTGTGTTCTTCTAAGATGATGTCAGTTTGACACAAGTATGCTTAGCCACGCCCCTCCAACCGTTTGTTTGCTGAAGGTGAAAGATGAGAGGAGGAGCTTAAAAATAAAACCCTGCCCCTACTGAATATTCCCTTTGATTTGGAAATACATCATCATGACACTGATATAAAATTCTGCAGCAACTTCTGGCTGACATAGACTTTAAAGGCTGCAAACATCATGCACAGCGCAGTGAAAGAAATAAGCTAGTATTTATTCTGAACATAGTCTGACCACTACATGACCTTTTTGTAATACTGATATACAGTCACTTCAGACTGATTTCTATTATATATAACATAAATACTATTAACACAAACTTAAAAAAAACACATAAAAAAACATCTTTTGTACTTGATGATAGTGCTAAAAATGATCCCTGTAGTGTTCCATTCTTTAAAATAATAACATGTCGCCAGTAAAAACAACACTGATTTGAGTGTTTTTATCCTTCGCTGGTAAACAGCAGGAATTTCTTCACCTGTAATGCTTGTCTGTCATGGTTAGCAGTCTGATTTCAGAGGATCGCAGTAATTCTGAGATTAACAATCCTCTCTGAAGACAAATAAAGGATGATCAGCAGTCTTGGATGTTTGGATTTCTTTTGCGGAATATCAGAGCGCGCTTTCATACGTCACCGGTGTCCCTGAGGCAGACAACGCACCCTGACTGACAGCTACAATTCAGAAAAAAAAAAGCACAATTAAAACAATGTATTTATAAATTGAACACAATCAATAATATTAGTACTTATTCCTGTTATAAAAGCTTAGGCATTTTTATTTTTACTTATGATCATCCAGGTGAGTGCTGCACATTAATGTTGGTGAGGAGAGATGCCCGCATGTGGTTGTAAATGTAAAGCACTATATAAGTACATTCATTCAAACAAACAATAAAAGCAGACAGAGAGTAAAACAGGACAAAGGCTGACCATACAGCATGCAAATTCTCCGAGCTGTGGTAGAGGTAACGCATTTCCATGTGGGTACTGTGTTTCAAAAAAGAATCAGTTGATATGTTGTATTGTGGAGAACTGTAGAAAGCTGCTTTATTAATGTTTGCAGGGTACTGCAGCTTAATTCTGACCAAAACCAAACTGTCTACAAAGGCAGCAACCTAACCATTAACTGATGTTGAAACATTCGTTATGGTTTGCAGTCTCACACGCCACAAAATAGTACTTCTCTTTTGAAAAGTGAAAGGTTTACTGTTGGTTCTAACAGTCGGTTGGTGCCATTTTCTGTCTAAAGTAAACAAATATGTTATTCACATTCTAGTTTTTAATAAATCAATATAATGTCGATGTCAAATGTCTGGAACAGACGTCATGTGCAGCTCACTGACTTTAATAGCACTTTACTTAAAGGATATATAGCAAATGTGTGTTTGTGTGTGTGTGTGTGTGTGTGTGTGTGTGCGTGTGTGTGTGTGTGTGTGTGTGTGTTTTAATCATCCAAGCAAAATTTGTCTGGAATGTGATATTTATCAAAAAAGGTAGCCTAGTTGAGCAGTTTATCAATGTAATATACTGTGTGCATATACAGTATATGGACTACAGTTGAAGTCAGAATTATCAGGCCCCCTGTTTATTTTTTTCCCCCAGTTTCTTTTTAACAGAGATATTTTTTTCAATACATTTCTAAACATGATAATTTAATAATAATATTAACTCATTTCTAATTTATTTTATTTACTTTGATTTACTTTATCTTTGCCATGATGACAATAAATAATATTTTTCTAGACACTTCTGTACTTCTTTGCTTACATTCTAGCCGAAATAAAACAAATAAGACTTTCTCCAGAAGAAAAAATATTATAAGACCTACTGTGAAAATTTTCTTGTTCTGTTAAACATTATTTGGAAAATATATATATAAAAAAAGAAGACATAAAAAAATCAAAGGGGGGCTAATTATTCTGCTTTTAAAACTGTACACTGTGTGTATGTATATACACACACACACACACACACACACACACACAACCATATATTTATATGGTATATAAATATTGTTATATTTATATGGTATGTTTGAACTGATCTCTCTACTTTATTAATAAATTTCTTTTATATTAAAAAAAAATCTATTGCCAGTTGAAAAACAAACAATAAAAAAATGAAGTAGTGGTGGGCAGCAAGCATTTAAAGTAGTTCAACCAACAGAAGTAACACATCATTTATCGACTTAAAGATATCACCCTAATTTTTCTATTGGACCAATAAAATACCAATTTATTGGCCAATATCGATATAGACACCAATATATTATTGTGCATTCCGTTTATACAGTGTTGTGAAAAAGTGTTTATCCTATTAAAGCTGATTTATACTTCTGCATCAAGCGCACGTGCACAGCCTTCGCATGAACGCATAGCCCTCGTCATAGCCGTCAGCGACACTGACGCACACCCCTCAAAAAATGTAACTACACGTCGCACAGACGAGTAGCGCAAGCTCTGTCATTGGTCGGCTTGGTAGCGCTGACGAGTAAGGGTGGGGGTAAGAGCCGCGTGACCCTGATGGAGCAAGTTTTTCCAAGTATAAGGTCCCGTGAAGGAACTCCAGATGGAAACTGTTGTTTTGTGTTTACCTTATGATTAAAGTTGTTGCATGTCTGCCGATTCCCACCTCAGAATGAGCAAGTTTAAGCTACTTGTACATTAAGGTAGTGTTCATAAAAAAACAAAACACCAGCGAAGAAACTCGACAAAGAGGAATATAAATAGCTACTGCCAGCTAGCGTTTCTGAAGTGTTCTTGCAGAGCAACACACAGCGTGCAGTAGTATAAATACATGGTTACACCAAGTGTGCCGCAACCCGGTGTTTGAGAGGTCTCGGCCGTTAGATCGCCCCCTGGGGGCTGGCTGCAGTACAAGTCATAAAGCCCGCCTCCTCCATGTTAATAAAGGAGACTTGAGCCCAAATAAAAAAATTTATTACACTTGCAATAAAATGTCCCGAAAGATGGTTCAGGTCGATTAAGGCACTGGTTATTGTGCTGAAATAGGTGCAGATCTTCATTTTTGTAAACAGTTTGTTTTTAGCAGTAATTTAATGCTGGGCGTGTCATCGTGATTGACAGCTGTGATTGACAGTTTCTCAAAGCACACCGTCTGAGCTTCGGCAGAAGACTGAAGTGTTATTATTTGATTTCTGTGTTATTTTACCATGACAAAATGAGTTCAGCAGAAAACTACAGTTTCTGACTTGCATGATCCTGGTGGAACAATGTTTATTCGCTAAGTTCATGGCTTTTTTCGGGATTTATTAGTTTGCTGATACACGCCTAACCACCCAGATAGCAAAATACACTCGGGCCAGTTCCGGCTAGATTCTCGCCTGCCGGAGACTTACCCCTCAGAGCTCAGACTGACTACCTCTGCTGGACCTACTCCGGATGCCTGGACTCACTGCCCGATTCCAGCCCAAGTCAATCGAGCCAGTTGCGGTGGCCGAGCGAGCCGGCGCTGCCGCATGCGAGCCGGAATCAGCCCGCGACGCCGCGAGTAGGTTATTCGCTGCGGCCCGGAGCTGGCGCGATTGAATATATAAAACCCTCATATTTGGTAACGTTATTACATCCATTTGTGTTGATATGACAGCAAACGCATGCTGAGCAGTTCGGGGGGCGTGGTTGATTTTACATAAAGCGTTTGGTTGGAAGCTCGACTCCGCTCATTTTCACGGCTCCTCCTCTGGCTCCATCAGACAGTCCTTCTGCGCATGTCAAGGCTCCAATTTCAGCAGTCTTTTGCGACAGTTTGTGCCCGTCAAGCAGGCGTTTTACCCTCAAGGTGTTCAATGGGAAAAGGGGCTGTCGCGTCGTCTATATTTTTTACAGTCATTGGGTTACACGCATTGCATGCGCCGTGGGTCACGCCGATCACTTGACGCAGAAGTATAAACCAGGCTTTACTTATTTCTTATTTTTTTTCCATATTTGTCACACTTTAATGTTCCAGATCATCAAACCAAATTAAATATTAGTAACAGGACAATGATCCAAAGCAGCAAGTCCACTTCTGAATGGGTGAAGATAAACAAAATGAAGACTTTAGAGTGGCCTAGTCAAAGTCCTGGCCTGAATCTAATTGAGATGCTGTGGCATGACCTTAAAAATGCGGCTCATACTCGAAAATTCTCCAATATGGCTGAATTGCAACAATTTTGCATAGATGAGCGGGCCAAAATTCCTCCACAACGCTGTAACAGACTCAAGCAAGTTATTGTAAACGCTTGATTGCAGTTGTTTCTGCTAAGGAAGACCCAACCAGTTATTAGGGGGCACATTTTTACACAGGGCTATGTAGTTTAGCATTTTGTTTCCAAATAATTATAGAATCCTTCATTTCAAAACTGCATGATGTGTTTACTTGTGTTATCTTTGAGTAATATTTTAGTTAGTTTGATGATCTGAAATATTAAAGTGTGACACGTGCAAAAAAATAAAAAAAATGAGTAAGGGGGCAAACACTTTTTCACACCATTGTATATATGGGTGTATGTGAAATCTGTCTTACCCCACTCAGGGTTCTTTGGTTTCTGCAGTAGTCGAGGGCCGAGCAGGCTGATGAGCAGAGCTCCAATAGGAGCAGTGATGATGATTGACAGCACAGCCACAGTCAGGACGTCCATGCCGTACTTCTGCAGCTCCAGGTCCTGCTTGGAACGGGCCATGTCTAAAGCTGTAGAGCCTATAGCTGCCTGAAACCAGTCACAAGTCATTCTCAGGGATCTCACAGAAGCATTTCATTTCTCTCACACCTTCACAAAGGCACGGTAAAACAGCAGGTCTATTTACACACTTGGCAAGTTTACCTGTACTGTGGCTTTAGGCATCCAGGCGAGAGTGACAAAGATCTTCTCTTTCAGGTTAAATCCGGCTCGCAGGACCACAATGAAAGTGACAAGCAGGCGTACGGTGAGGCCGATGAACAAAGCTGCTATACCCAAAACTGAGGACGGATCAAATTACAGCTCATTAATAAAAAATATTACACTGCTGACAGTCTGCTTAAGTATTTTCTAATCAGCTCTATAGAAATGACAGCACATAAGATGTAAAAAATCACATTTATACTGTAGTTTGACACTCACACACAGTCGTGAGCTCCAAAGAACTAATAACAATCTCAGCACCGATGAGTCCAAAGAGAAGAGGCTGAAACACAAGCCAAAACCTCTCCACTACTGCTTCCACTGAAGCCTGAAACAGATACAGAAAAATTGTACATGTTGCCTTGAAAAAACGGGAAGAAAATTACTGTACATTGTTACACTTCAACACACTTATTACTTGACATTATTGCCAAAACATTTGTCAATAGAAGGCAAAAGAAGAGGACAAATAGACAGAACCTTGTTGTGTTTCTAATTTTATTTCCCTTCTTTATTTTTGATATCTCAATGGAAAGTGCGGACAAGAAACTGATGTGTTGCTGGTTGTACTTTATTAAGGTGGTTTATGAGGATATGCTTTGTATCTGTGTAATTCATAATGCTTTAAATCCTACTTAACATTCTTTAGACATTTAAATTTTGCCACTGGTTTCTTGTGAGGGTTGGGTTTAGGAGTGGGGTTAGGCCATATAATCAGACGTTCTACTATATAATATGCATTACAACCACCGAGCATCTTCATAAACCATTTATACTGTACAGGTAGTATGTGTATGTGCAATATTACTTGACATTGTTGCCAAAAATAAAGTAAAATAGAAAAAGTAGACAAAACTGAGATTAAACTTACACATATACTTTTGTTTTCAAACATTTTTCGTCTTTACTATCTGCAGTACACAAAACTCTACTGTTTTGTTCAGTTATTCTATTATTTCAGTGGAAATTGTGTGTTTGTGTTTGGAAGATCCTTGTAGTCTTGAACATGATGTTGTTGGGAAACAATACATGAAACTAATTGCTCTACAAACAAGTGTTTGCATGATTAAACAAAAAGATTCAAATGGCTGTGTCTGCTTGTACACGAAGAATAAGGTGAATAAAAAGTATTAAATATTTTGTCTTTTTTTCTTTAATTATTATGTTTGTTATTATTATTTTATTCAAAATTTGTTTTATTCTTATTGTATACTTAATAATTTTTTTTTGTGTGGGTTGTGTTTAGAGTACATATTTTAAATAATGTTTTATAAATAAATAAATGATCTGTTTTACCTGTCACTGAATATAATGGTATTTTATATATATTGTCACCTTAGAATTATAAGGTTCTATCTTACATTTTTGTCAGTATTGAGTTACTGGCATATTCTTATTAAATGACAACTTATTTACATTATGGGATGTTTTTTTTATAAGTTTTTTTTACATTTTAAGACTTTTTATTTAAAAAAAAAAAACAAATGTTACACACATACTGTTTGCTATGGAATGCACAAACATTAAAGCTCATTATCTCAAAATCATTCAGAACGCAGATGAAACCTTATATATTTATTTTTTGAAATTATTATTTCTATTTAAGATAATTTTTATCATATTTGTTGTTGTTGAACATAAAACTTAAAATTAAATTAAAAATTAAAATTAAATTCACAGCTTAATTTGATATTTCACTGTGTTTTTGACAGGAGATTCAGACCTTAGCTCTTCCCCAGCCTATTCCGGCCACAAACGCCAGCACCAGTGTACAGAGACCGCCTGCTCCAGGAATCCCAGCCACATTACTGCCAAACAGAGCAAACACTGACAAGCCCAACACCAGGAAGGAGCGTTTCAACACGAGGTTTCTCTGCACGCAAACACACAAATCAACAACAAAAACAATAAAAGTGGTTACGATGATAGCAATTCTGAAAACAACATATTGTTGTATACATATTGTAGTTCTCAATCCTGTAGTTGTTGCTTGTGTACCTGGTCTCTGCTGGGGAAGTAATGTAAAAAGAACCCTAATGCCACACCAGTGACTGCACCACCCAATACCTCCAGCGGACCCCGCAGCACGTTTAACCACACGGAGCCTGCAGAGGGTAAAACAGAGGACAATAATATAACACAGCACAACTAACAAGTCAATGAATCCTGGAGAAATGACCCAGATAAAAGTTAAAATTATATAAGTTTTAAGTACACACTTTATAAACTTGGGAAAAAAAAGATTCTTATACATAATCATACACTATGAAAAGTTTGAGGTGAGTTTAAATGATGTATTACTTTAATTTAGAGAGGAAGCACTGGAAAGGATCAAAAGAAAGACTAAAACATTTATAATGTGACATAAGTATTCCATGACAACCACATATCTTAAAGTAATGAGTTATGTCAAAATAAAGAGATACTTTTTCTCTTTTTTTCCCCAAAGACCAAGCTTTATTTTTGAATCACCGAGCTTATAAAATCCTGATTAAAATTGCATCATGCTTCCACAAAATTAAAAAAATAAATAAATAAATTGTTCAATGCAAGACGTTTTTATTTTAAAAATAATTGTATAAAGTTTTGCAATGAATATACAAAATAAATATACAAATATTTATTATATCAATATATAAAAGTAATATACAATTAATATGACTATTAATACACAAAATATATTTATGAAGTGAGGTGAGTTTAAATATTTTGTTAAATTGAAGACAACACATATATAATATTATAAAGTTTTAATATTTCAACAAAGGCTGTTTTTTTTAACTCAACAGAAATGTTTCACATGGGCACAAAAAAAATCTATTTCGAATATACATTAACTAACAAACAAACTAACTAACTAACTAACTAACTAACTAACTAACTAACTAACTAACTAAATACATACATACATACATACATAAATACATACATACATACATACATACATACATACATACATACATACAGAAACTAACTTTATACACAACCAAATAAAAAAAATAATTTCTTTGGTTTTCACAAAAAAAATAAATCAACAAGACTCTTTTCATTGTTGACAATAACGATATATATATATATATATATATATTTTTTTTTTTTTTTTTTTTTTCAAATCAGCATATTAAAATGACGTCTGAAGGATCATGTGTTGACATTACTTATAATGAATATAGTTTTATTATTTCTGTGGACGTCTATTTTAATATTTAAAACCGTATGTTTGCTTGTCCTAAAAACATTTTTTATTTTAAACCTTACCGTGAGCAAATTTTGAACAGTAGAGTAAAATGCAAAATCTTGTCTAAATAGTGTCTAAAACTGGCGTTTTTTTTTTGTTTTATCACAATCAAATCATAAATGAGCGTGGAGTCTAGTATCAGTTTAATTTTTTTCCTCTTTCCTTCCTATATAATGTTATACTGTACAGTATGAGAGTAAGCAGAAAAGCACAAAGTATAAGGATAGCTTATTTATTTATTTTTTATACATTACACTTTTTTCCTACAGCCACATACTCTAAATCAAAATTCTTTAAATAGTTTATATTTGCTTTTTTTCAATTGCATCACTTCTATTTCTCCATAATTTAGATTCTATTGTTTTTATTTTTATTTTTGTTATTGTTATTATTTGTTGTATTATTTTAAGGTCTCAAGTGGTTGTGTAAGCATTTCACTGCATATCATACTGTCTGTGTATGACTCCGTATGTGACAAAACACTTGATTTATAAAAGCTTTTAGTTTTTTAGGCAAACCTGTGGCGAAAGCAATGCCCAAGCAGGTGGTAAAGCAGGTAATGGCAATGATGTCATCAACGCTGCACGCTGCCATGAGAAGTGTAGGTATACCCTGCTCTAAACCGTATCCTTGCCTATGTAGAAGCAGCATGGATGGAACCACAACAGCTGGAGTAACAGCCCCAAGAACAAACCTACCGAGCAGAAAAGTACAATGTGAGACATGACTATGAAAATTAATGAGTCTAAAGTCTTGTCATAAACCATGATTTACCCTAAAATAAAGCCCCAGATCCATGGAAGACCAAGTATTAAATAGGACATCACCGCCATGGTGGCTGCCTCAAAAATGAGAGGGAACATGGACAAACGCAAACACACAGCTTTCAGCTTCTTCAGTGCCTGAAACACACATATAAGATAATTAGATAGGGCTAAAACAATTTCACAACTCATGCAATATAATATCTGAAAATTATCACTATAACTATATTAATAATAATAATAATATGGAATATTAATATTGCAGTAAGGTGCAATAAATTAAGTTGAATGGTCGTTTATCAAATCTGATCAATCAGATGGGGCCTTACTACTCACTTCTCCATAAATAGGTTCTGGTATGCTATTGGCTAGCTGGACCAACCCAAAGATAAACCTAGTGCCTCAGAATAGAGAGCTGAAAATAAATGCTAAAGGCAAGACAATAGAAATGGACAACAGAGAATAAAATATGAGAATATCCAGCCTATGGATGTCAGGAGGAAACTTAACTACTTTACGTTTTGTCAGTTTTGTGGCTAATTCGTACATATTCATACGAGTTCAGTTGTACAAAAATGTCTGATTTTAAACTCAGGCATGGCACCAAACCCAGCCCCTAAACCTAACCGTCATTGGGGGGATGAAAAATGAGATCATACGAATTAATACGAATTAGCCACTTAATCAAAAAGTTACGAATTGCTGCGAGATTGTGTTGGAATATTTGTTGATGTTTTTAGTCATTGGTAGTGTTTTAAAGTCAATATATACTTTTTGCCTCAATTTGATTTACATCTCAAAAATAACAATTGCCAGTTAATTTTAGTATGGTCATTAAATATATACATTTTCTTTTTATTTTAAGAGCCAATGATAATATTACCATTTATCTGGGAAAATTAATCGCAAGAAACATTGTTATTGTAGGGATCAATAACATTATCACTTTAACATATAACTTTTATTTCATATTTTGATACACTCACTGGCCACTTTATTAGGTACGAGTAACAGGTTGGACCCCCTTTTGCCTTCAGAACTGCCTTAATCCTTCGTGGCATAGATTCAACAAGATACAGGAAATATTCCTCAGAGATTTTGGTCCATATTGACATGATAGCACCACGCAGTTGCTGCAGATTTGTCGACTGCACATCTAGGGATTGAATTGACATGGTCAGCAACAATATTGAGTCAGGCAGACAGTGGCATTGACAATGCTCAACTGGTACTAATGGGCCCAAAGTGTGGCAAGAAAAAATCCCCCACACCATTACACCACCACCACCAGCCTGAACCATTGATACAAGGTAGGATGGATCTATGCTTTCATGTTTTTGACACCAAATTCTGACCCTACCCTCCGAATGTCACAGTAGAAATTAAGACTCATCAGAGCAGTCAACGTTTGTCCAATCTTCTAGTGTCCAATTTTGGTGACAAGAGTGGCACCCCGTGTGGTCTTTTGTTGCTGTAGCCCATCCGCCTCAAAGTTGGACGTGTTGTGCATTTAGAGATGCTCTTCTGCATACCTCGGTTGTAACGAGTGGTTATTTGAGTTACTGTTGCCTTTCTATCAGCTGAAATCAGTCAGGACATCCTCCTCTAAAATTGTTTTACCGAGCAATTGGACAGGTGTACCTAATAAAGTGGCCAGTGAGTGTTTATAATAATGAAAGCGAATTATGGAAAAAAAAGTGGACAAAAAAAGTAGATCCCTATGATTTTCCACAATGCAGAAAAGTAGCGAGTGTCAAGGAATTTGTCAAATTTTACATTAATAAATAAAAAATAGTGTTGTACACCCAATCAAATTATAATATGGACTATTAACTTGTGAATATGAAACCACAAGATACTATTTAAATATTAAATCTGCATGTTTTGCACATTTGTGTAAATGCAGTTTGGTTTAATACACAAAAATTTACATATTACTATTAGAAGACATAAACATACAACTTTATTTCCAGAACTGATAAAAAAAAAATCACTTCTCTGGCATATTTATGAGCAAAGCTATTACTAAATTCTGTAAACGCTAAAATTCATAGCATCTTAAAAATCATCAACAACGACAACAACAAAAATCTTTGAATCCAAAAAATAAATAAATAAATAATTCTATAAGGTTCTTAAAACTAAAATAATGTTACATTCTTCATAAAGTGTTGTTACTGAATAAGAACATGATCTTTGATTAATAAAGTGTTTTTACAATTAAAACGGTCCAAAAAACAAAACTGTAAATACTTAATTCAGGAAAAAATGAAATGGACTTTGAGAAACGATAAAACGTTATTTTTTTATAGCGCCCCAAGTATATTGTAAAGGCACTTTGTCTTTGTCAGCTTCAAGAAAAATGTTTTCGATGTTACTCGACAGGAGCTGATTGGGTTTCATACCTTGCTGTCTAATTCCAAGCCAGCCTTTACCAGAATGACACCAAGAGCGATGTTCCTCAGAGAAGAGGACCATCTAACATCAATGTACACCGCATCTGTAACCACAGGGATGTTTCTGAGGATAAAGCCTGCCAGCAGCATGCCTGCAAACACACACAGAGAAAACAGCAGAACTCAAGAACACAAACAGAAATCCAAGAGTTTCCCATTACAGTTCTCACACTGGCGAACGCTTACAAAATAAATAGCTCAATGAAAAAATAACACAGGTAACTTGTCTTTAAGCTGAGAGAAAAAAATCCACTTAAGATTGGATTAATAATACTACATGATGTTTTTGAAAGAAGTCAGCTAAGACTACATTTATTTAATCTATGAATATGTAATGTAATGTATTTATATAGCGCATTTATTGTGCATGGCCATACGTCCAAAGCACTTAACTATCATGAGGGGAGTCTCTCCACACCACCACCAGTGTGCAGCATCCACTTGCATGATGCAACGGCAGCCACAGGACAACGGTGCCAATGCTCTCACCACACACCAGCTATTGGTGTGTATGATATCATTATGATCATTATGATTTTACATAATTATTTTATATTTTTTTAAACATTTATATATCATTGATTCCTGAGACAGAAAAAAAAAAGATTTTTTATGTCTCACAATCTTTCAGAAATGACTCTAATATGCTTATTTGGTGTCTTATCGTAAGCAATGTCCACACAAACACTGATATTTTAAAAACCGCATTGTTTTTCTATGTGTTTTAGCCTTTTGTCCAAATGGAAATGCAGTACTATTTCAGCCAGGGTGAGGATTTTCAGAAACTCTGCAAACAGTTTGATTTTCGCCTTATAGCATGAGTTTGCAGGCTGTTTTCTCTGTTCTGATAGCCCAACGTAGCTTTATTCTAACACAGTGTCATAACAACACATGTCATAATGGGCAATAAACGCTATCTTTTGCATGTTAAAAGGAGTTTTTGTCCTAGCAATCTCCGACAGTGATGTTCAAAATTTATATTTTAGAAATGCTTTCTATTTCCGCAATAGATATTATCACGGCTGAACAACAGCATAAACTACTGTGATAATGATCACCTCAAGTACAGGATATGTGCTTTGCAATTAATGTGAGTTTAAATACTATTTTACGTGACATTTATTGACATCACTACTTTAAGCAGCAGCAGATAGTTCACCTCAGATCTTAAAAATAAACTAGTGCAAATCAACAACAACAGCCACTCAGCAGCCTATTAATAATGTTATTTATTATTAAATTAAAAGCCGGCGACGCAGTGGCGCAGTAGGTAGTGCTGTCGCCTCACAGCAAGAAGGTCGCTGGTTCGATCCTCGGCTCAGTTGGCATTTCTGTGTGGAGTTTGCATGTTCTTCCTGCATTCGAGTGGGTTTCCTCCGGGTGCTCCGGTTTCCCCCACAGTCCAAAGACATGCAGTACAGGTGAATTTGGTAGGCTAAATTGTCCGTAGTGTATGAGTTTGTATGTGAATGTGTGTGGATGTTTCCCAGAGATGGGTTGCGGCTGGAAGGGCATCCACTGCGTAAAAATGTGCTGGATAAGTTGGCGGTTCATTCTGCTGTGGTGAACCCGGATTAGTAAAGGGACTAAGCCACAAGAAAATGAATAAATGAATGAATGAAATTAAAAACCTTTACCATTTCATTAGGAGTGCAGTAGTTGGTATTTGTCATGTCGTGTCACATTTGGTGCAGACAGCCAAATTGATTGATGCTGGAATCTTGTCGTATCGAATGTTGTTAGGACGTGGTGTAAGGCTTTTATCGCTGCCTGTTGATTCAGAACGCTCTTGCAAAATGCCTTTCCTGATACTTTTGATCAATTTAATGCTGAATAAAAGTCTCTTTATATAAAACCTCTCATGATATCTCATGATATAAAAAAAGTTTATACACAAGCTGCAAATACAGCAGTAATATGTTGGTGTTTCTTCTTGTTTTGAGTTACATTTAACAAAATAATGCCTAGTCATTTGAACAGGAATCCACATAGTTGTCATTTTTAACTTCTGAGCATTGCTTTACACATTAATGACACCAAAATTTATTATTGCACACAAAATGACATTAATGTGCATATTTGAATTTTAAAATTAGAAATTGTCATACCGAGCAGAGGAGGTACAGGTGGCAGTCTTGGTAAACGTATGCGTCCAAACAGTTTTCCTCCGGCCACTGAACAAATAAACAAGGTCACAATTCCGAAAAGGTTCCCGCCTGGAAGACATTCCTTCTCTGTGATGGACCAGACCACTCCAAAGAGCACTGCGGCCATGGTCACTGCCAAGGGGACAAGAGCAAACAGACACGGTGTGTTTAATTAACCAGCAGATCACACTGCGAGACAATGAAGATTGACATACAAACATAATGCACTTATTTCTATTATTTAATGTTCAAAGACTTGAGATCGGGGAAAACATTTTCAGAAAAAGAAGGAATTGTTTACATTTTATTAGTTACAGTTTAAGTTCTAAGTAATAATAATTCACTACTGTCATAGGAGTACTGTTAGTTGCATGTAATTACAGTATGCAGACTTTAAAACTATAGTTGTAGTATGTAGAACATGTGTAATAATGCCATTAATAACCGATTTTATTTTATAAATATGCATTTCATAAATACAGACACACTTTATATACTGTAATGTGACTAAATGTACAACTTGTAATTATACTAATTATTTTTTGATTCTATTTATTAATTGACATATTACTGTTATTTTATAATGTGAATTTCTAATGTAGTTTTTGGTTGCATTTTGTTTGTACAGTTGCAAGTTTAAAAGAAGCACATTATAAGTAGAATGTATTACTGTTGAGGGTCCTGTGAAACTAAAGTTTTTTAGATGTTAGTTTCAGTCCGTTAGTTCTAAGGATATCTACAAGCTAGTGTACTCCAAAACTGACAAAATTTAAGTAAAAAATAAAAATAAATAATAAAACAGATATAGACATCCAAAACATGCAGTTTTTCACTTCCACCTAAATGCATCAACGACTTTTCTTTGTCATCAAATATTGACCAATCAAATGCTCTCTAGTGTCTGATATGCCCCGCCCCCTTTATGATATGCCCACACTTTTTATTTGCTTCAGCTCAATTTTTTGCTCTTCAGCTCAATCACTCTCACTGGCAGAGATGTGATAAAAACAAAACACTACTGGCTGTTTTTAAAGGGGAGGAGCTATGTCCCACCCCCTCTTAATCTTCATTTATAATATTAAAAATATATAAAAATAGAAATAATAAAAACAGTCCAATAAAAAAATGCACATTTCAAACCACTTCATAGGAGCTTTATTATTATTATTATTATTATATTAATTTTTTTTAAATAAATAATTTATATTCAGAAAATTAAATGTTAATATTCCATGAAAACAAATGTATGACTTCCAGAAAGAACAGTAAGCAGCACAATTGTTTTCAACAGGATATGAACTATACATATTTACTGAACAGCAAATCAACATATTAGTATGATTTCGAAAGGGCTCATAGGACACTAAAGATGATGCTGACAATTCAGCTTTGATATCTAAAAGAAAAATACAAAAAAAAAAACATTTCAAAATATTTATTATTATAGAAAACAGCTTTTTTTTTTAAATTTGTAATAATACTTACAAATACATCACAATACACTACTATAATACTATATCTTACACAAAGATAATTGGTGAGAATATTTAATCAATTATTGATTAATTTATTTTATTAATTATTATATTAGATCTTTCAAAACAAAAAAAATAATAACACAATCAAACAAATTTTAATGGTAAATTTAAGATTTTGAAGACTATTGACTGACCTTTGGTGATAATGGCAGCCAGCATGCCTCTGGGTGGACACGGGCATAGTCTGCGCAGCCATGGGCAGCATTCATACGGAGGGTCTGTGTTGGTGCAAGCATCAACCGCCGACACTGGTCGAGGGACATAGATGGTCTCTTCTGTCATACTGGGATTGGGACTCTCTGGACGCTTTGGAACCACCAGGACTGTCTGACTGACAGTGAGGTGGTGCTGTCAGAGAAAACAGTGAAGGAAGATGCATTGATCTTAGTTGCAAAATCTAAACTTTGCAGATGCTCTATCCAGTGTAGCATCTAAAAGGTATGTTCTCAATTATTTCAGATCATACTTATTGCTTTAAAAATAAAACCTGAATATAAACAAAAGAATTGAGAAGATGTATTTATTATGTAAATTCTGGTGTTTTTAGGTTTTTCTTTAGTTCTGTTATCTAATCAGGGTTTTTTTTCTTACAAGTACATTTAAGTCATCTTAAGAGAAAAGTTTATAGTACTTTTTTTTTTGAGTGTAAAAATATGTCTTGCATTCTGTGAGGGCTGTGATTAGGAGTAAAACTGGAAGATAAAATGCACAAAATAAAGTAATCAAGTATTTTCCCAACTTTTCACATTACAGAGTTTTGTTGACGAATATGTAAAGTACATTTTGTGCATTAAACATGCGAAATAAAAGTCATGTTGTCACTGCCTATCACAGATACTGTACCTCAATGTGTTTTCTTATTCATATTTAAATGTACATAAACAACTAAGCTATGAGACAAAGAAAAAAAATGTACAATATGGTATCATTTATGAACAGTGTAAATTTTATGACCTAACAATAAACACTTCAGATAGCTAATGTTCATAACTACCTTTAATCACATTTATGAGAAAAGTATGCATTTGGTGACATCTGTTAATGCACTCTGATATAATAAACAATTTTATTGATACTCCTTATGAAAATTATCCACCATTTGTATTACAGTAAATGTGTTGTAACCATGTTATAAGTGGACCGATTACCAAATCACAGAATAGCTCGATTAATTCACAATTACCATGAATTAACTACAAAAATCATGTTTTTGCTTTGTTTTGTTTTATCTGTTGTCATTTGATTAACTGCCATAAGGGAAACACTAACAAAGCCTGATTCAAGTCTGAGTCATTGTTACAATGCAAATGTTCAGTAACTGCGTGATACTAATTACAGTAATTATACATACTATTAGAATTCGATGAGTTTAGGATTATCTGCATGTAATTATGCCTACTAATTGTAATTACTATAGTATGTATATAGTAAATACTTCTTAAAACAAAGTGTAACCCAAGTATATGGCAGTGAGACTCTATTGTACAGCCTAACAAAATTTTAAGTATATCAAGTTTTAAAGTGGCATAGCTTTCATATTGTCCATTAAACAGATTATTAATCCAAAACTAACAAATATGTCATCATTTACTCGTCCTAGAAATCTGTTTGAGTTTCTATTTTCGGCTGAACACAAAAGTAATTAATTTGAAAATTGTTGAAAACCTTTAACCATTGACTTCCACACTATTTGTTTTCCCTACCATGGAAAACAATGGTTACACGTTTCTACCATTTTTTAAAATATCTTCTCTTGTGTTCAACAGAAAAGAAACTCAAAGGTTTGTAACCGCTTGGGAGAGAGTAAATTGTGAGTATATTGTCATTTTTAGGTGAACTATCCTTTAAAGGTCGACTTAGAAGAACACACATACAATTAACCACAGCACTCTGTAGCCTACATATCATTAAAAAAACAACAACTATATGCTACTTCCAAACTAATTTCTGACAAAAAGAAATCAGTATCAAGTGTGGAAGTCTGACTAATATATGAACCTACTTCAGCATGATTCCCCAACGCAGAGGTGGCATCCTCAGTCCGCTGCGAGTAAAGGGAGTGGGCTGAATGTGGTCTGGACTGGACATCCTCCATGGCACTGCACTTCTGCTCCATCCTCACCCGAGTCCTCTAGCCATAGCACGAGCTCGTGCCCATGACCTGTGTTCATATATTTGGATAAAGTTGGTAATATTTGCACATTCTGACTAACTCATTAATAATATAATTGCAGAGAAGTAGCCTATTCTCTACTAAATATTGAAAATATTGAAATCAGATTCGCTAACTACTCACAATCAAAGCACAACATAGTTCGCAGTCCATTAAATAGTGCTAATGTTGTTTGTAAGGCATACTTACATGCGATTTCAGACTGAATACTCAAAGTAGCGTGTGGGAACGAGTTGTCACTGAACGAATGTGGGAATATAAAACCAACTTTACCTCAGTTGTTCAGCTAAATAACGGTCACTATGTCTGTCTACCGTTAAAGCCTGTCAATGGAGCTCAAAAGGGAAATAACTCGAGTACTAGGACAGAAAAGCGACTGGTTTATTCAACAGGTTAATCGGCTTGTGACAGGACTAAACGCGACGCCTGGGCCATATGGTGTTTTATCAGACTGAAGAGCTCGTGGCATATGGTCTCTGTTTATGGTACTGTAGTAAACCAAGAACTGACTGAACATGTCATTAACTGTTCCTAAACATCAGATTCATGTTTATCTACATATAATCAGGCATATTTATGTCCTCTTGTTTCTTATTCATCACGAATATAGTGTTGTGTATGACCTAAAACATTAATTTCTCTCTTTTGTTTGTGTGATAAATCAAATGTCTGACATTTAATAATAAACAATCATGACTTTAAACCTCCATGCCATCAAATCAAACCTCAAACGAAAGCATCAGCAATCTTGAGCATTTCCCGAGTGATTTATTGACTGGCATGTGCCGAGCTTTGTGCCTATACAAGCAAATAATACTGAAAATACACGCGCCTCGTCCAGAAATGCGACTATACAGTATATTTAAAAGGTTAATCTTTTACCCGGTCCAGACATCCGGAAGCATGAATGGCAGAGGGGGGTGTTGTTTGAACCTACGTCCAATCATATTTATGCTTTCAACCTCTTTTCCGACCAGTCCCGCCTCATTTGTTGCGTGAGTGGCTAGACGTAAAAGTTGCCGACCAATCACAGGTCTTCAATACGAGACGCATGTTTATCATTATCTTCTAATCATATTATACACTGTTTAACATTTCCTCAGTAAATTTAAAAGGGATATTGATATACATATTGCTCTTTTTGTTCTTTATATTTGGAAAATGTACCCCACATCTTTTGGCGCTGTGTTTATGTTAAAAAGATTTGGTATGATGCTTCTGTTTTTATAAAAAAAAAAATGTACTCTTTAATTTTAATTTTGAAAAACGTAATTTTAGGATATTTTAATTATGATAATTTGAATAACGAAGTATTTGTTATTAACCTATTTATTTTGTTAATTAAGTTTCACATTCATAAGTGTAAATTTTCCAACAAAAAAACATTGTTTTACTGTGTTCTATAAGGAACTGAAAGATTAAACATGCACTATTCAGCATAGTGCTAATAGAAAGGCCATTAAAACTGTCCAGTTGTGCTCTAGCTTCAAAACTTTTGATTAATGTAAAGGTCCTGCTTGTTTTGTAATTGTAAGAATTTTAGTTAACTATTTATACTTGTTTTTATATTTATTTATTGTGCTGTTGTTATTTACTTTCTATCACCCTGGCATTATTTTGTTTACTATATTGTCATGTATCTGATGTTAATAATAAAAAATACAGTTTTACTGTGGTTTTATGTAATTTAATCAAATGTCACATATAATCGAGATTAAGTCAGAGTTCAGAACTGTTTTTATTCTGGATTTCAGTTAAAACAGTTTATTAATCTTATTAATTCATGATTTATGTGTTTAATATGATCTTCTAATCATATTTAACACTAAAATTGCATACTATGTTTAGGCTTTATGTGGTTAATTTGTCAATAAAATCAAGCTAAAGCCGGATGATTAATAAAATGAACACTAAAAGTTCAAGATTGTTTTAGTTCCATAATTTTAATTATTATTAAAAACATGGTTTATTAATCTTATTGATAATAAGGAATTCGTCAGAACTAAAATAGCAACATACTAAATCATTTTCATTACAATTGGCTTGTTTATTATTATTTTTTAAACTATTTTAGAGTACCAGATAACACATTCTGCAATTGCCATTTTATACAATTAGAAACATGAAATACAGTGCAAAAAAGTGATATTGCTGCCCAAGATTGATTTGATACATATTAAACACAACCAAGACAATGATTTTCAGAAAATGCAGTTCTTTGTTTTTTGTTTGGCCATTAATAAAGAAAATTATTCACTACAGTTTGCTCTGTTTAAGACTACAGTATGCAACAAATGATCTTCATAGTCTCCATCCTCCATCAATGATGACCTCTGTTCCCGTTACAAAGGTAGACTGTAGGGATAAAGACATAGGTAAGGTTAGGTTACTTTATTTATACCCGAAGGTAGATTTGGTTTGCATTCAAGAGTCCTCATCTCATAACAGTTCCACCCAAAAAAGCTCACATAGTTACAAAAACAACTGAACATAAAGACATAAACATAAAACAGTTATAAAGAATAAATAAATAATCACGTCAAGTGAAATAAGTGTTTAAAACAATCTAAAATATCAAGTCACCGAAATACCTCAGCTTTAATCTATGCCTAATTTAAATGTCTAATGGCTGCTGGTATAAAACCATTTTTGTATCGTTTAGTTTTACAGCTCAGTACTAGAAACCTGCGACCAGAAAGAAGGAGGTGAGTGTAGAGGATAAGCAGTGTCCAAAAATTGAATTTGTGATTCTCTTTAGCTGCCTGGTGTACACAGCCTCTAGATTGGCTAGTGACAACCCGGTCAGCTTACTGGATGCCTTAACTATTTGATTTAGTGTCTTTTTATTCTTGACTGAGAGAGTCCCAAACCATGACACCAAAGTAAAAGATAAAACGGATTCAAGAAAAGCATGGTAAAATAAAATCATCATGTGTTTATCAATATGGAAATGATTTAACTTTCTCAAACAGAATAGTCGCTGGTGCCCCTTTTTACACACTACTGCACAATTCTCATCAAACAAAGTTTAGAGTCAATAATTGTGCCAAGGTATTTGTATGATCGCACACTTTCTACAGTCTGATTTTTTATGTAACTGTTCACCTGTGTGTGAGCAGCCTTCCTAAACTCAATGATCATATCTTTAATACATTTAACTGGAGATATGACTCCTCACACCATCTGACAAAATCATTTAGTACTGGACCATGACCCGTTTCATTTTTATAAAGTTGGCTGACAACGACAGTGTCATCTGCATACTTAATAATGGTTTTAATTCCCCACCTGCTCTGACACATGTTTGTGTAAAGAATGTATAACAGAGGTGAAAGAACACATCCTTGTGGAGACCCGGTTGGGGAGCAAACAGAAAAGCATCCATTCACTCCAACACTTTGTGTTTGATTAGTTAAAAAGTCAAGGATTTAGCCAACCAGGTTATTACTAAGGTCAAACTGTTCTACTAATTAAAATGTGGGGTTGAACTGTGTTAAAAGCAGAGGAAAAGTCGACAAACAAAAGTCTGGCATGGGAACCATCTTTTTCCAAATGTTTAAAAAGTAGGGTAAACAAAGTAACTGTGGCATCCTCTACTCCCCGATGAGCAGGCCCGTGCAGAGACCGTCCAAAGGGCATGTGCAGGATAAATTTGTTGAAGAGCGGGGGGTGGAGGGGGTGTGGTTTGGGTGAGTGGGGGTGGTTGTTGTTGTCGTCGCGCGCGTACTGAATAGCGGTGTTGTCGCGCGCGTTCTGAGTAGCTGTGTTGTCGCGCGCGTACTGTAAAGCGGGGGAGGCGGGGGGGATGGACTGAGCGCGCGTATTCAAGAGCAGTGTTGTCGCATCGCGGGGGCACTTTTGATCATTTCGGAAGGGCACTTTCTATCCAAGACTAAAAAGGGCATGTGCACTGCACAGGTTGAGCCCTATGTGTGCACGTGCCTGCCGATGAGGCCTATAGGCAAACTGCATGGGATCAAGTGTGTAATCAATTCTCAGTATTTCAGACCTCACAAACTTTTCAAACATTATAATCACAATTGATGTAAAGACTATGGGTCTGAATTCATTAAAAGTTTGGGGGAGTTGGATTTGGGAACAGGGACCACCACAGCATCCTTCCAAACCTTAGGTTCCTGTAGTTCTAGTAACAATCTATTTAAAATGTATTTTAAAATTTAATGAAATTTTAAACATGGGAAAAGTATTTCTAAAAATGAAATAGCATTTTTAATTTGTGTAGATTACTTGGACAAAAAAAAATCCAAGTAAACAATGCAACACTTCTTGTAGTGCCATATGATGTATCATAGAGAGACGTTTTACTTAAAAATGAGCATTTACAGTTAATTTAATCACCCTCAGAACATTATGATTTAATTTAATGATTCCGATGTAAGATTTAGATTTATTTCCAGCAGAATTCAATTCAATGTCAATTCATCTTTATATCTATAGCACTTTTTACTACGTAGATTGTGTCAAAGCAGCTTAGCATAGATGAAGAAAAACACCATAGCATCCCTGGTGATTCATATAATACGAGTCAATGGTCAACCATTTTCAAGATTAAAAGTAAACACATACAAACAAGCTGAAATCAATGCCTGTGGCTTCTGAAGGTACACTGTGGTCTTATGAAGCAACTAAATATTATGTACATTGTTATTAGCTATAATCCACTGACTGGGCAAACAATTCTAGTTTTGCAGAACTGAATAGTGAGCGCAAGCTTTCATTAAAAAAAATAATGATAGTAAAAATCACCAAAGATCACAGATAAACTAAATATCGTCTTTGTTCTACTAATGAAAAAATATTCTGAGGGTGAGTTTTCATTTTGGGGTTGAACTATTCCTTTAAATGATATCAGAAAAGAAGTTGAATCCTCACCTCATCTGAAGCCAAGTACACACACAGATGCGCCACTTCCTCTGCAGTGCACAATCGACCGGTCCTCTGTCTGGCCATAAAGTCTTTAAAAGCCTGAAAGGTGATAAATAGAAACTCTATGGCAAACAATGACAGACTGAATCTTGTGCTTATATGATTAGTAACTATTATTATAGTTAGATTAGTATAGTATAGTATAGTATAGTATAGTATAGTATAGTATAGTATAGTATAGAATAGTATAGAATAGAATAGTATAGTATAGAATAGAATAGTCTAGTATAGTATAGTATAGAATAGTATAGTATAGTATAGAATAGAATAGTATAGTATAGAATAGAATAGTATAGTATAGTATAGTATAGAATAGTATCGTATCGTATCGTATAGTATAGTAGATTATAGTATAGTATAGCCTAGTATAGTTAGACCAGTAATGTAACTATTTAATTAGAATAAATGATTAAGGGTTGCTGTTCATATAAAACTATTTTTGTACTCAGAAATGTATTTATTATTATATTTATTTTTCACTTTTGTGCAAAGCAAATTACTTTTACAGAAACATTGTAAATGTAGATACACAACCTTGCAAGAATCAAGAAAAAATAATTATTGGTGCTCAATTATTAACAATGTTTTACTGTCATTAATGGTAAAATTTTAAATATTCAGGATTTATAGACAGAGGGAGTATTTTACTTTTGTAGTATTGGTGTGATGGATCACAAATCTCACGGTTTGGGTCACATTATGGTTTTTCAGTCACAGATCGGACAATTTTTCGGATCAGCCAAAAAAGGGAGGAGAGAAAAATGTAACTTGCTTTACATTTATTACAAAAACCGTACAGCAAGAAACTTTTGGTTTTAACAAACAAAACTTAGAACCTGTAATTGTATTAAAAATAAAATGAAGAAATAATCAGCTGAATAAAAATAAAAAGTGAAATATGCAGTACTAACATTATCCAACATTATAATAATCTATATTATAATATAGCCTCATTTTTGATAAATGATTCAGTTATTCACACATAAAACTTCATGTTTTATTGCTAGATGTATCATTTTTGAAGCATTATTCACTGGCATATTTTTTTATGTCTGGCTGTCGCCACCTATTGGTTAAATACTGTAATTGTTGCCTACAACTTTCATTTTTGAGCATCAAGTTAAATGCATATGAAGTGATTTTAACCTTTACCATAAACATCAGTGGTTTTATTTAAACTGTTATCCCAGTACTTTTGTGTTATTTGACCTTTATAACTAGAGGCTGAATCTCTTTCTTAATTTTTGCGTTTTTCAAACACAGATTTGAATGCAGTGATTCGAAGGATTAATTAACATATGCAAATCACCATCATTTATAATTTATGTTGCATAGGTATTGGGATCTTGATCTTTTAATGATGCAAATTTAGGATTAATTTACAAGTAAAAATATAAATATGCATCAATCCGCAGGTCACGTGTGTTCCAAACCGTGGATTGTGATCTGTACTTATGACAAATCAAATGAGATTCATTACAACACTATTTTGCAGTAGCAGTTATTTGAAAAAGAAATCTTTGGTAACATTATAATATGCAATTGTATTTTGATCATTTTAATGTGTTGTTGTTCTTTTTGTTTATTTTAAATCTTTTACAAAATGTTGAAAAGTAGAGCATCAAAATTTACAACAAAATATCAAGCAACAAAACTGTGCCAGCACTGATAATTACAAAAAATGTTTAAATCCACATATTAAAATCATTTTTAAAGGTTCATTTAAAATCAAAATCTTAACTCAATTAAAATTAATAAACGATTATTTTATTCATTTATTTTATTTTTTATGCCCTCATAGTTCACTGATAAGTTTTGTATAGTAAATATGCTCACATATTACAAGTGAGAGATTTTTGAATGTAGGGAGCATTGCTTGATCTTAAAATATTTCAAAAGAACACACACTATCCACCATCTATGATTATTTATTGAATATTAATGCTGAACAAGTGAAATTAAAAGGCACATTGCCTAATACTCTCCACTCTCGTCATCGCTACCAAACCAACCAATCAAAAAGCTTGCGCTACGCATTGTGGTGACGTGTAATCACATTTTATTTGAGAGATGCACAGGTATGCGAAGGTGGCGTTGAACTGTAAGCTTACACTTGGCAGAAGTATAATGTCAGAATAATAAAATAAGTATAGGTCATAATATAATAAGTACAAATCAGCCTTAACGGAGCATGATCACGTCACTCCACACATGGTAGGGAAAATAATTGAATAAATTGACATAAAAAATTAGATCGATTGTAGGTTCTGAATGTCGATCTGGATTACTTTTGGATTAATTAACCAGACCTAGAAAATGATCAAAAATCTTTGATAATTTTTGAGCGAGATGCTAATGGTCTAATCCAATTCTATGATCTATGCTAAGCTATGCTAAAAGTGCTCCAGGGATCGAATAAATATAAACATGGCAAACCTCAGCTGTTTAACTCTAGGGGAGCTGTAAAATGAGCCTTAATGAGATTTAAAATTAGATTAAAAAAAGCTTAAGCTTACATTTAATAAGCAAAAGACACATTTAGCATTCATATTTAAATCTATTTACTGTACATTAATATTATAAGTATACAATAATGTTGAGTAACGAATAAGATCCAAGCCTCTTAACTTTCAATCAGAGATGCCAGAGCATGTCTCTATAAATGCCCAAGTGAATCATCTTCAAAAGTAAGTTAAAAAGAAGTAACTGCTATGTTTTTCTGGCTGTGCATCAGATGGCTTTTAGCTATCCTCCCAGAGAGCTCTCGCAAAAATTAAAAAAAAAAAACAGAAGAGAGCATTTGGAAAAAAAAGACATCAGAAGATCACACAAACAGCTTCAGAATACTAATGTGTGAAAGGAAAGCAGTACCTGCTCTGGATCAGGCCTGGCCTGAATCCTCTCGCGTAATGATGGCGTATCCACAGTTCCTGCACGGGTCAAGAGAAGCAAAATGACTCCTATAACATCATCTAAGGTCCACAGAGGAAACCAATCGATAAACGAATTAGCATACCTGGGCAGATGCAATTACAGCGGATGCCTTGTTCCAGGAAATCAGCTGCCACAGATTTAGTTAGTCCAATGACGGCAGCTTTAGACGTGCTGTAGACACATCTGTTCACCACTCCTGGACATGCAATTAAGAACGAGCAATTAAGAGAGGAGGAAACTGACATTTATCCAATTCAAGTATCCCCTGAACTAGAGATAATGGGGCAAAGATAATATGCCAAAAGGGCCACGAAACAACGCCAATCATCACATGTAATTAAGGACCAGATCTCAATATACAACAGGGTGTATTACACATTACACATTTATTGTCACAATGCAAATAGAATGTAGCATGTACCTTTGATACTAGATGCCACAGATGCCATATTGATGATATTCCCAGATTTACGAGCCAGCATCTATATGGAGATGGATGAGGCGGTATTAGTTTCAATTGGCAAACACGTTAAAAAGACCTTTTATTAAACAAGACAACAGGATGACTTCCAACATGTAGTGGAACAAAAGAATTATGTCTGCAAGTTTTACACAAAAAGATGAAGTGGTTTTTGAAATTGATAAAAAAATAAATAAAATAAAAATAAATAAATAAATAAATAAATAAATAAATATATATATATATATATATATATATATATATATATATATATATATATATATATATATATATATACTGTTTATCAATATATATATATATATATATATATATACAATTTATAATCCTAAAACAAAGAATAATAATAAAACAAATCAAATTAAATGGAAAAAAAAATCTTTGAATACAAAGCAACTAGCATGTGTTTTAAGCTAATTCTAGCAAAAAGAAGGGCAAATGACCTTAGGCAGGAAGGCCTTGATCATCAGGTACATGCTCCGGACATTCACATTCATGGTGAAGTCCCAATCTGATTCCTCACAGTCCAGTATTGAGCCATGATGAACAAATCTGTGTCAAAGAAAAAAAGAATGAAAAAATTAAAGGACGTTTTTTTGCATCATTCCTGTAACACAATTTCTGGTGGGTAGTGAATACTATAAACTGCATAAAACATCATTATTTTGGGTCTCTTTACATTAAAAAACATACATCTAATATATGGCAAAATATGCAAATCACATACAGTCGAAATCAAAATCATTAGTACTTTTGATTGTCTACAGCAGTGGTTCTCAAAGTGGGGGTCGGGACCCCTTGAGGGGTCGCGGAACAATATAGGGGGGTCGCCTGGTGATTTCCAAAAATCTACTTATTATTATTATTATTAGACCATAAGAATTACCATATTTTATCCATAACCAACTGAAGAGAAAAAAACAGTCGTTTATAGTTACTATAGTAGCTTATTTACTTGTTCTATTGAATTGCGACCCCTGGGGTAATTACATTATATTAAAGACAGCAATAGCCTCAGATGCAGCAGATTGATTTTATAACACCAGGTTAAACTTTCTGGCCCATTTACTGCACTGACATACATTTAAAAAATTAAACGAAGAATAGACTTTAGTCTATTGGTGTGTGTGTGCGCCATTGAATGCAAGAGGATATTGGGGGTCGCGAGTCACTGGCATTGTTATTTTAGGGGTCGCGTGCTGAAAAGTTTGGGAACCCCTGGTCTACAGAACAAACCACTTGCCTAGATACCAAATATGTACTGTCATCATGGCAACAATAAAAGAAATTAAGTATTACAGAAATTAGTGCTATATAGGAATTAGTAATTAAAAACTATAACATTCAGAAATGTGTTCAAAATCATCTCCTTTAAGAAACACTTGGGAATTCAAATTTCACAACAGGGCTAGAAATGTAGATTTTAACTGTATACAACAAACAGGTTCACGCTTGGATTTCACATATATAAAAATAAGACATTTACACATATACATACATATATACATAAAGCAGTTTACATATATTCTACTCAATCTTTTGATTACAGATATACTTGTTCAGATAAATTAAATAGTTTTAAATATACATGTCTGCATATGGCCATATATCAGATATCTGTATGGTACATTATACATTCACTGCTTTAAAGATAAATATCAACCCAGCAATATTGAAGAGCACATCCACATGGTCAAAGTCCTTGGCAAGAGCATCGACTTGGTCTTTCTTGGTAACATCAACAACTTTGGTTTTGATTCCTGGAAAACAAGGCCAAAAAAAGCACAGTCTAAGAATCAGAAGAGCATGCACAAAAGCCTAAGAAGAGAAGCACTCTTGAAGTAAAGCAATTTGTTTCTAACATAATGGGATTACGTGGCAAAGCAGAGCCATATGAAAAGGGGGGCTGAAAAAACCCACTAGCCTTTGAAATCTCTTTGTAGGGGGAAAGGTCTGATATAGACATGCTCATAGATCAAAGCTTGAGCAAATTCAAAAGCAAGCGCATACGACTGGGAGTCCATCACTGAAGTTTCGGTTGAAAAATATTGTAGACAATCTATGTAATATCAAGCAAGTTAAATATTTTTAAAATGATTATAAATTATTGTGTGTACTTTAACAGTGAGCGTTAACATGATCAACATGTTTTAAAAGATTTTTATTTTAAATACATTTCCTTTTAAACTTTCTGTTGATCAAAAAATTGAGATATAAAACATATAATGTGATTCAGAAAACAATTTAAAACATTTAAAAAAAATTAATAACTAAAAATCTAACATGTTCTATGAGCTCCAAGTCAGACTAATTTATTAAAGATCATGTGACACTGTCTTTGATGAAAATTATGCTTTTTCATAGAAACAATATATAGTTTATTTATAAATTACAATTATTTTACATAGCAACATAATTTTTTTAATATAGCTGTTTTATTGTACTTTTTTAAAAAAAAAGCACCATTGTAGTGATAAAGAAACAAACAAAAAAACTGTAAAAAAAACAAAACAAAACAAAAAAAGCAATAGTAAACAATGGTTTAAATCACAGAATTGAACAATGGTGTACTAGTTAGCTTTTGCATGATGCTGTAAGGAATGTCTTACCGTTAACACTTTAAAATAATAGTCCGTTAGTTAATGTATTTACTAACATGCACAAATAATTTGTAAAACATTTAATAATGTATTTATTCATCTTTTTTAACATTAGTTCATATTATATAAGTTAAATAACATTAGTTCATGTTAACTCACAGTGCATTAACTAATCTTAAAAAACACTGGATTTTAATAATGCATTGATTCATGTTAAACTGTGATTAATAAATGCTTTACAAAATGATTCATACTTAGTTAATGTTAGTAAATACATGAAATAATGGACCATTATTGGAATTGGAATGTTTTTATTGTCCCCTAAAGGCAATTAGGTTTACAGCAATAGGCGACAGTTAACAGCAACAGGTCACACTCTACAACATAGAAGTAACAGCAAACAATAAAATTAATCATAGTCAAAAAAAAAAAAAAAAAACACACAACTTAAAGCTTGTTAAGTAACCCAACTGCAGTTGGAACAAATGAATGCAAATATCTGTTGCTCGTCTAGAATACGTATACCTGATGGCATGAGGCCAAACTTCGAATAATGTAGGTGGTTCTCATCTGTTTTTACTTGTCACCCTCAAATTACCATACCAGCATATTACTGCAAAAGTTAAAAGACACTCACTAAAAGAAGAATAAAAAGTCCTAAGAAGAGGCCTATCCACATTAAATCCTTTCAACTTCCTGTTACCATCTTGCCCTCCCTTCATTAAGACATTCCAGAACACATTAGTTACTGTAATTTTTGTCAAAAAAATACATGCTTATAAACAAAATGAGTCCAAATAAATACATTTAAAAAAATCAGTCGACAGACAAAAAACAAGTTTTAGCTGAAATCTTAATCAGCCCTGTATCCGTAACCGTAACCAGTCTCAAAAGGCTTTTAAGACCAAGTAAAGCACATTTCAATACTGTTTTGTTTTTAAATTTAGAAAACTTTTTCAAGTGACTTTTACTCTAAATCTTGGACTTGAAACAAAAACTGATCAATAAAAGTTGTGAAGCACCAAAAGCAGGTCACATTACAATTAAACGGAATACTAATTTGGCTATTGTTGTTATTCATGATTTTTCAAATGTACTTTTTTTTACAAGAAAAATCATAAAGCACTCCATTATTATTATTATTATTATTATTATTATTATTATTATTACTATGATGTGTTAATTATTAATATTATTTAAATTGCCAAATTCTGACTGAGGACAGTTTGATGTGCTGGTTTATCTAATAAATGACAATAGGCTACAGTTTTAATTAAAAAACGTAACAGATTCCAAGTTTTTTCTAATGATATATGATGTAATAAATTTGCATTTAAAAAATAATATTTATTCATATTTCTTTATTCTAAATCTTTAGGAAACCTTTTGGCACAAGAAAAAGTGTGGTTATGACAACCATCCAAAAAGCTAATTCAGCTAAAAATAGTGCTTTAAACGCAGTATTTAAACCTCATAGTTAAATAGACAAAAACAACAAAAAGGTCCACATTTTGAGAAAGAAAGAACACCCCCACTACCCCCAGCAGGCTGGCTACAGGCCTGTTAATAAAGAAATTGAATAAAAAGAGATAAGGATCTTGTTATGTTTTTCCAACAGTTTTGTCCACTAGGTGGCAATACATAGCCAGTCAATGAATTACCTGGAATGCCATCCAGCTCTTTCAGTTTCTCTCCATTGATATCCGTAGCAGTGACTTGAGCACCTTCTTTGGCAAAAGCCTTTTAATTATAAAGAACAAATTACAATTAAAGTCAGTAAACAACAACATGCATTTGACCTTCAAAAAAAAAAAACATAATGAATGAGAAATCAGTGTGTTTGGATTCACATTCACACCATTATTCCTAAATCACAATATGTGAAAACACCAGTTCAAGCTACAGCTCAGGTGGAGCACGGCTGATCTGATATAAAACCTCACCATATAAACCTCTCAATAACCCTCCACTGGTGAAATTTCATTTAAGAACAATATGTGCAATAACCTGTTCCCTCCATGCCAACTGACTCAGGGCTACGGTGTTTCCTCAATCTGCAGTCTCTCTCATTTAATCCTCATTTCAATATTCGCTTGATATGGAAATGTATTCACCTAGCAGGTGTGCGTCTAACCACCTTCGGCTCGCCTGATAACATGCTGTTGACTTGCTGAAATCAAATTTGCCTAAATGATATCAGACACTGTTTGCTTCACCGCTTAATGATTTACTGCAACATTTTCAAAAATGAAAAAAGTGCAGGTTAAAAAATACCAAATAGGTTGCAAAGTCTAGAAATATTTCACCCTTGAGCTGGGTTCAACATTCTGTCCAAAACAGCATGTACAAGACAGCCTGAAAATGTCACATTGACAGCGCATGCATTACAAGCTTTCATTCAACAGTGAAACACACATGACAACTGTAATCCCTTAGAGTACATTCATGAAATGATACACATAAAATACAGCTAAAACTGGCAAACTCGGTAGTGGTGGTTCTCGGTGTGGGAGAGGTGATGGCAGGTTGACGGTGCCCCCCCTATCAACAAGCTTGCTCCCACTGCCCCCCTAAATTTGGTCGCGTATTTTTTGTATTACAACTAAATTGCCACGAATAAGCGAGATCCGCCATCGGTGGCAGACTGTGGAGACATAACTGAGGCCTCTCTAGCATGCTCATGTCAGTGGTGTCGTGCGCACTCGCTCTATCTGCTTTCCCTTTACTTTTGTCAGTGATGGTGCTCTGCACATCAGTTTCCCACATTCGTCAGAATTAAAGCCCCAAATTGACACAGGTTATTTAACTCAACTTCAGTCATGATCACGTTGTGAAGAACTATCAAAATGTCCACTGTTGATTATCTTAGACTTTTGTTTCCAATAGTAATTTAAAAACTTTTAATAGAGGAAGTCCTTGGCTATGCATAGGCTATAATTAATTAATCTACATAGTTTTACAATAGGAACTGTAGTCTTGAATTTACAAACAGTCAGCAAGTACTGAAGAACAGATGTAACACATTGATCAAATTTAGTTTTCAATCACACTCATGTAAAAGTAATATTCAACCCGTTTAGTTTTGTCTTCATTCATTTTTGTTTCAGTAGTGACAGAGCATGAGTCTCCAAACACATGATTTTTTTTTACAACACGTAAGTTTATATTTGAAATAAAATATTTGACTTGTTATTTTGCAAGATAGTTGTACTCAGATTAAAGTGTAATTTAAAGACTTACTTAGGTTATGCTAACTAGGAAAGTTAGAATGATTAGTCAAGTTATTATGTAACTGTTGTGCAGACAATCAAAAAATATAAATATTTCTTGAAGAGGCTAATAACACTGACCTTAATTATTATTTTTTTTTTATTAAAAACTGATTTTATTCAAGACAAACTATAAGTAAGACTTATTATGACTTCAAAAGAATTGTTTTTGTGTAATAGAAAATACTGTGGCAATTTCCTTGGTTTGTTAAAGATCACTTGGGAAACATTATTTTAAACTAATGGGAGGGCAAAAAAATGTATGTTAAACTGTACGTTACAGTGTACAGGTGCAAAAATGTGCCTTAATGTCTTTGAATGTTAAAAATCTGCTAACCTACTACAAGACAAAGTTACTTGTCAAATAAATTAAGATGGAAGATTGTTTTGAATTTAAGTCATTTAATTAGCTTGTTTATGAAGACTGCAGAGTGATGCATGAAAAAATGACTTCAATTGTTTAAGTAGATTGAGATGTATGTAAGTCACAGTGTGCTGTCACTGAAACAGGCTTGTCAACAAATGAATCATAAAGAATTGTAAAATGCAAGTGGATCCTTTAAAATGCGTGTAAAATGAATATTTACTATAGCAGATGCTTTTCCAATGCCTTGTGCTGCTGCTGAAAGAACTATCACTTTCCCGTCCAGACGACCCATAGTCTTCAATAACAACCTACACATGTAGAAAAGGCATAAAAATTAATATTTGTTAGCAAAATTTGATTAAATACTCTAAAGTTTATACTAAATACACATTTACCTTTTAAAGGTCGTACTGAATTGTTTGAAATTTTACATATTTAGATATGACTTTACCTCAAAATAACCACACACTGTCGTTTGTTGTTAACAGATACGTTATTTGATAAGTTGACATGTAACTGTGTTTGATAAACATTTTTGCAGCGTTAATTTAGGCTAATAATGATTAATCATGCAATACTTGGCGTAATTTATTTATGTTTCATTATCACGCGTCACGTGACGAGTGTAAAGGTAACTCTGTGCTGCAGTGTAAATCACTGTAAACACAATGTAAAAACATAATAAACATATGATGCACGATTATGCGCTGCAAATAGTTAACAACAAGTCAATTTGAAAGTTTCGTACAAGCAGCATCGGTTTACAAGAAGAAAAAACACAATAAACAGTAGAAGAACTTACTGACAAGTGACAACTAGTGAAAACAACACACGTGATGAACAAACGTCCGTGTCGTCCAGGTTTTGGTTTCCTGTCAAAATAAAAGTCAAGTAAGTACATATATTTAATTGCTATAAACATATAGAAATATATTCATTTAATTTAATTTAAATATAAAATTTAAAAATGTATACGATATAATAACACGTGTTATGGTTGTTTTTTTTCATTAACATTGTGGCAGGAACTGGAGATTATAAAGACAGCACCATTCAGAAAGGGACATTTGGAAATTACTTTAACTCAAATTCTAACAAATTTCAGTCTGCATCCATCTGCCAGGTCATTCATATTTTATATCAATTTTAAGAAACATGAACACAGTGGGTTCTATGCACCGCTACAGTTTTAAAGCAGACGATAAACTTCCAGTGAAAGCATAATGTGACTTTCAATTTGACAAGGTTGTTTTTATTGCATCGATGTTGTAATGTAATTACAATACATTCCGTAACACAGACTTAGCAATCTTAGTTGTTCAAGTTTAAAACATGATGAATGACTGTTGTAACCACTATAACCACAGCGCCCGTCAGTATAGCAACAGGCTAGTGCAGAAATGCCGTTTACTGGGGTAAAATAAACGGTCATATTTTAAAGACAAAGCGGGGCAAATGGAATTTAATTCAGTGCTTCTTGTCAGATCTAAGACCCACTTCATATCATATCTATCAGGCAGTAAAGATCACTGATTTTTAAAGAAGTCTTATCTTAAATGTGACAATTTTGTAATGGAAAAACAGGTCACCGGAAGCCGCAGGGCTGCCTGGTTGAAAATTGAAAGTCTGCATATAGCCCATTGATGAAAATCTATGGTCTTTCAGCGTTGCTTGTAGAATGAATTATGAATGCCATGTATTAATGATGTCAGTCAAAGTGAGGTTTAAATTAAAAACAAACATTGAATAACTTGTTTTTCCTGTTGAAAATGTCAGAACTGTTTAAGTTCAATGGTCAACTTGTTGCTTTTGAAAACATTATGGTGTTATAGTACATTATAATAATTTTTCCATCTATATATCCATCCATCCATCCATCCATCCATCCATCCATCCATCTCTATCTATCTATCTATCTATCTATCTATCTATCTATCTATCTATCTATCTATCTATCTATCTATCTATCTATCTATCTATCTATCTATCTATCTATCTATCTATCTATCTATCTCTCCGCCTGTCTATCTGTTCAAAAAACTGTAATAAGTGATAGTTATGTACCCTTTAAAAATAGACCATAAGTGTGCATACAATCAGCATAAAGCCACTGCCATAGTGGAGTGTTTTGTGATGTACTTCACAGACAGTGAACATACTGTTCAGAATCTCTGAAAGCGCTACCGCACTTAAAATGATGGAATGAAGTGTTTCATATAAAAGAGTAGTTGATGAGTAATGTTTAATAAGAGAAAAAGTAGCCTTTTTGAGCTCTACAGTTTATACAGTTTTTTGTGCCAGATATGATGACCTTTCTAACCCCAATGTCATCTACAGAAAATCTTGTTATAAACATTTATAATAGACAGTCATAAATGGACTTGATTTGTGTGCACATGCTACAATTGTTCAAGAAAACCTCTTAGAGTCATAATGGTTCATTCAAAAAGGTAAAAAAAAAGACATGCATTGCCTTTCAAAAGGTGTGAGGACTCAAATCCAATCTAAGGTCAACGCTTTAGCATTGTGGTACAACACATGAATGGATCCAGAGGCAAATTGTTTCACTCTTTCATACTTTGATGTTGAATCTATCCCATCATCCAATTCACTGCTGAAATTAGTGCTTCGTGAGCTTAGAGGCATGAAAATAACCACACATTGCTGGAGTTAGATACATATTTAGAGGGCCTGTGTAGTTCAGGGGATGTCTTATTAAGGCTGTAGGAAACCTTTAATGGCTTATTGATCCTGCAAAAAAAGTAGAAGTAAATAAGGTTTTTCTGCCCGGGGCTTCTGTTGCTTTTTACATCACTAGCCTGCCATTAAACCAGTCGTTCCTTTGATTTAAACACATTAATAGGTTTATTTATACATGAGCACAGGTTATACAACACAAAAAGTGAAAGGTCATAAGTAAAACTAGCAAAAATACACAAGACAAACATGTGCAGGCCCTTAGCCAGCTTGGTAAAAGGGGTGGTTCTTTTTTCTCAAAACAGTGGAAGTTTTTTCAGTTATTTGCCTAATTTTCAATTTAATTATGAGGTTTAAATACTGCTTTTTTTTTTTTTTTTTTTTTTTTTGCTGGATTAGCTTGGTACACTTTTTAATGTACCAAAAACAAAAAAATAACTAAATATTTAAAATAAAGAAATAATACAATAACATATACATTAAAACTACAATAATATTTTTTAAAAATATAAATGTATTGGGTCATATTTCATTTGAAACAAACTGGAATTTATTAAAGTTCATTCATTCATTCAATTATTTTATTTTCGGCTTAGTCCCTTTAATATTATGGGGTCGCCACAGCGGAATGAATCGCCAACTTATCCAGCATATGTTTTACGCAGTGAATGCCCTTTCAGCTGCAGCTGCACAAACACACACACACACACACACACACACACACACACACACACACATACACACACACACACACACACACACACACACACACACACACACACACACACAGGTTTGTTTTTGTGAAAGTGGGGACATTACATAGGTTTCCATTTATTTTATACGGTCCAAACCGTATATTATATTGTCCTCACCCCACCCCATCCCTAAACCCAACCATCACAGGAGACTGTGTGCAGCTTTACTCTCTGATTAAACATCACCAATGTCCTCATATTTCACCTCCTTTTTGTAATACCTGTGTCATACCCATGTCATTATACAGATTTGTGTCCTGATATGTCACAAAAACACTACACACACACACACACACACACACACACACGCACACACACGCACGCACGCACGCACGCACGCACACGCACACACACACACACACGCACGCACGCGCACGCACGCACGCACGCACACACACACACACACACACACACACACACACACACACACACAACGACCAATTTAGCTTACCAAATTTAAAGTGGGGGAAAACAGAGCACCCGGAGGAAACCCACATGAACACAGGGAGAACATGCAAACTCCACACAGAAATGCCAACTGGCCCAACTTAGGCTCAAACCAGCAACTTTCTTGCTGTGAGGCGATTGTGCTACTCACTGCGCCACCGCGGCACCTTTATTAAAGCTTTTAAATAAAGAAAAGTGTAGCTTATTATCATTTATTAGACAAATAGCAAACTCGCCCACACTTTCAACTTTCCTCAGTCAAAATTTGGGAGAACAGAAGTTAAGCCGGTACGCTGTACGCTGTACCAAATTCGGTGTCCCAAATTCTGTACCAACAGCTTGGTCTTAAGCCTTTTTAGATGGGCTATTTTTCCAATTCAATATGACATAGCAGTTAAAATAGGACAAATTAGCTCATGTATGGGACAAATTCTAAACCTTTGTTAGTGAAGGTTTTTTGAACCACTGAATCCCCCTGGCTATATGAGCCTGATATGTCTGTTGTACATTTTTGATAGAAATAAGAGTAATGTGTTGTACATTTTTACATTATTATTCATTCATTCATTCATTAATTTCCTGGTTGGCTAAGTCTCTTTATTAATCCGGGGTCGCCACAGCCGGGGTCTACCTACTGCGCCACTGCGTCGCCCCATTACATTATTATTGTTGTAAAAAATAATAACACTGTGTCACCATTCCCATGAAGATCTGTAGAAATAAAAAAAAAACAGAACAGTCAAGTTTTATACATGAATTTAAAATAGTTTGATTTGATTTAGTTAGATTTATTTTTTTAGAGAAAAAGAGTATGAATCTCATATATTTTTGCATGTAGATAAAATGTTTGGATGGTCTAACATGCATTTACAAACCCTATGTTAAAGCAGTGATTGCATTTTTAACTATTTATTTAACAGTTTAACTGGCATAATGCAAGTACAAAACAAAAGAAAAGAAATCACTTTCCAAATAAAACAGAACAAGAAAACTATGTTTTAGTACCGTTACATACCTATAAATATTCCCAATTTGTCACATTGCACAGAGACTTCGAATATTGTGCACATAGAGGAAGAAAATTTCCACTGCAAGCATTAGACTCAATAAAGGTTTGATTGTAAGAACCTAATATCTGTTCGATACTACAAATAAAGTCAAAGCAAATATAATTCAGGCTTCCACCGCATACAGATTCATTCATTTCCCTCCATGCTGCAAGACCAGCACATCAATCGATTCCAAACCCATAGACGGAAAGTAATTGTTGTAGTCAAGTGTTTAAAAAATGCATGAATGCACAGACAACCAAAGCACGAGTCTGTGCTTTTGTTAATTAGCAGCTTGACACCTTAAATGGAAAGGGCTCTCCGTAGAAGACTGGATAATTGATTTCTTATTGTTTTCATATTACCGCACAAAGGCACATCATTAATCAAGCACCTTCAATTAGTCCGAGCTGCAGAGAGTAATGTAACTGTCTGATTTTCCCAACACTAACATAACTTTTATCCGAAAACCTTTCTTACTTTCCTTTCACAAATGGGCTTGACTGTTTCAATTTATTCCAAGTGATAAGTGAGTAAAGTCTGGTCTTTTTTAATCTACTTTTAACAGATTTCATTGTAGATCTAGCCCTTCTCCAGTAATGAATCTGAACAGAACAATATTTTAAGAAAAGAGACCCACCGCTGAACTGTTTTTTCAACGTGAGGTGATTCATAATTTCGACATTTACAACATCAGCAGATTGAGATTGCCAATGAGTCTCTCTTTTTTTTTTTTACTAGGATACTA